TCGCCGCTCGCTGACCCACCGCTAGCGCGTCTATACGGGGGGCCCATTTAACCGTGCGGGGGCCCCCAGCTCCCAGCGGACTCGCTACACGGCGTGGTGGCCGCACAGCGCCCAGGGGGGCCCCTGTGAGCCACCGGGCGAGCAGCACGCGCAAGGTCCTTTTTTGAAGGGGCCCTGGGACACACAAATAAATACACACAAATAAAAGGATTCCCCATATATTTTCACATGGTTTCTGGGTTTTCGTCTTTCCCCCCACTTCCTATATTTTCGCATCTTTTCCTGGGAGTCGACGATTAATTGTGTCTGTTTTTTTTTCCCCCCTCCTGACTTTTGCCCCTATGGGGAGCAAGGCCAATAGGCCAATGTGCCGGGTCAGCCCGACCCCGGGCCCCATAGAGTCAAGTCGGGCCTGTCCCTCTACAGGCGGCGTGCTCAACAATAGTCACACACACACAAAACTCAGGGGACGATTTTTTTACTTAAAAGATTTTGGATTTTCCGTACTTATATATATATATATATAGATATATATATATATATATATATATATATATATATATATATTATATTGTTCGTCAAAAATCGGCCTGTACGGGGAACATGCCCGACCTAACCCTAGAGTCCGCTTGCATGAGGTCCGACGGTGCGACATCAGTGAGACATCGCTTAGGATCACGACCAGGCCCCCAGACCCCGTCATTCTGCGTCATGTTTCGAGCTGGATCGAGCTGTGAGGGTCCCGGGGCTCGAAACTGAGCGAAAACGCCCGGCTCGAAAAATTGAGACCCCAGGATCTCAAGGCTTATGGTGTGCGCATTGGACAAGGAACCCTTAGATCTGATATCAAGGGTCTGGAAGCCCGTGGAACTCCAATCGTGGATCGACCATGGGTATCACCGCCGCCCTCATAGGATAAGGAATCCTCCAGGGTCTGGCATCGAATACAACCATTGTGCGGCCAGAAGGAGCGCCGAGTAGAGGACGACGGGGCTCTTGCTGGCCAGGGCGAGCCCCGGCCACGAGGGGCCCATGGTTTTGACGCGCCGGGCCCTGGGAGACACTCGTCCGACAGACACCGGGCGCTCGAGATGATCTCTGGGACGTGGTCCTTCAGCACGACGGGAGCAACAGAACTCCAGGGCTGGACCTGAACGGCGTCTTGGCCATCTCGTGGGCCGGCCCTCCGCCCTCTCTCTCTCTCTATATATATATGTATATATACATATATATATATATATATATATATGTATGTACGTATATATATATATATATATATATATATATATATATATATGTACACATCTATTTATTTATAGGTATATATACATATATGGAACGGCCCGAGCACCAGAACCCCTCCCGAACCCCAAGCTGTGCGGGCAATACTGAAATACATATCCGGACTGTGTTGGAATGTTTGGGAAGGAGTACCGCAAAGCCGAGTCGCACTGGATATGGATAAACATCGGGCCTTTGGGGGCCAGATGTTCATCCATGTCCAATGCGCCTCCAGTTTCAGGGGGAAGGTCGCCCAAAACTCCAAGACTCACCGGATGTGGATGTAACTATTGCCCGCCAGGTGGCCCCCACTGCGGCGTCTGGGCCGCGCCTGCCGTCAGACGCCCCGAGAGGGGCCGCCGAGCCTGGAGCTCCGAGCGACCTCGGGGCGCGGCGCGGGCTCCCGGGCGCCGTCGCGCGGCCGCTCCAGCGGCCGGGAGGCCCCAAGACGGCCAGGGGGGTCTCTCAAGAGGCCCCCACGATCCCTGACCTTCCAGAGCGCACAAAACATAGCACTCCAGACCTATAAACCCACCTTGACTGCCTCAGACCTCGACAGAAATTGGGAAGTCGACGTCCTGGTGCTATGTTTTGGCCCTCCTGGAGGGTCAGGGATTGCCCAGGAGGGCCCGGGGAGGGCGTAGGAGCGCTCCGAGGGGCCCAAAAGGCACCCCAGACGCCCAGAGAGGCAAGAGGTGCTAGCCTCTGCAAGTCTTTATAGAACCCCCCCGATATCAGGAAACTGTTTATCGCTTGGGCGCCCTTATTGGCGGCTTGTTTGCTACCGTTGTCGATGTGTTCGGCTTTCTCGCTGTTTGGTTTCCTGTGGGCCTCTGGGGCCGCCTGAAGTTAGCTCAACAATCGCCAAGAGACGAACCCAGAAGGGCCCGGAGAGGAACCCAAAGACCCCCATGAGCATCCCCATTTACGGGCTCGACACGCGTGGCGTCCCTCGCCATCGCTCGGACGTCCATTCCCCGTTATTTTTTGGTCTCGTGCGTGGCGTCTTCGCCAAATCATCAAGGATGCTCCTCGATGGTCCTCGCCGAGGGAAAAAATTGCACACGTCCGAGCGATGCCAAGGCCCCTCTCCCCCCCTCCCTCCCGCCCCCCGCCAGGGAGGAGGAGGAGGAGGAGGAGGAGGAGGAGGACGAGGAGGAGGAGGAGGAGGACGAGGAGGAGGAGGAGGACGAGGAGGAGGAGGAGGAGGAGGAGGGGGAGGAGGTCCTTGAAGGCCCTCCCTTGGGAGCCCAGGGGGGCTTCACTGCTGGTCTCCCGGGAGCCCGTGCGGTCCTCCCTGGAGCGCCCCGGCGGGAGCTCCTGGGGGAGCGGCCAGGGAGGCCCCCCAACTGGGCATCGCTGGAGGACGAGGAGGAGGAGGAGGAGGAGGAGGAGGAGGAGGAGGACGAGGAGGAGGAGGAGGAGGACGACGAGGAGGGGGACGTCGACGATCGGGGGACCTGGGAGCCACCGCTGGCTCGGCGACGCGCCGGGGAGGGAGGCCGCTTCAACGCCGATCCAGGACGCCCGCGCGGACCTCCCGAAGCATTACGCTGGGCATCGCTCGGACGTCCATTCCCTGTGCTTTTTTCGGTTTCGTGCGTGGCTTTTGCGCCAAATCGTCAAGGATGCTCCTCGAGGGTCCTCGCCGAGGGAGAAATGCACACGTCCGAGCGATGCCAAGCCAGAGGAACCTGCTCCCGGAGAGCCCTGGCGACATCGGGGGAATGCCCGGGCAAATCTAGCAAAAGACAACAGATGAATACTTAGGCGTAAACTTCGGTCGGGCATGTCCCCCCAGAGCCGGAGTTTAGGCGGCGAGTTTCAAATATCAGAACAATATTCCCAACGAGCCGAAAGATATTCAAACAATCGCCCCCCTATTATTATTTTGACTATGTTTGAATATTCCTCCTGGAAGGGGACAGGCCCGACTTAGACTAAAAACTTTCTCAGGTCCGTGTTGATTTGTCTGCGGCGCTGGAAGCCCCGTGTGGCCCGCCCTCTGCGCTCTTCAGGGAGGGCCAGCAGGGGGTCCAGCGCCGAGCCAAGACTCCAGCGCCGATCCAAGACACCTGCGACGACCTCCGACAAATTCTGTGCATGTCCCTTTTTCTCGTCCTGGGATCAGGTCGGGCCTGCCCCCCTACAGGGGGGGATCTTGGACGATACTCAAGAAACATATCTCCCACAAATGTTCAAAGATTAGCAAGAAATCGTCCCCAGACTATTGTTTGACTATTTTTGAATATTCCTCCTGTTTTAGTCGGAGATCGACTACAGGAATGCTTTACCCTGAAACTGGGTTCCCCGTCGAATCTACGAAACATACGCAGGATGCTCTGTAGAGTTGCAGGGCATCCGACGTTTGTGTTCTGCAAGGTTCAACAACAACTCACTTCTGGGGTAGAGCAATTCTATAGTCGAACCCCTACTCGACTTGCAGAGGGACACGCCCGACCTTATCCTGGGATGTCCCTCGCTGCACTGCGCACCAAGGGAGGGGTCCGGGGACGGCCCGGCAGATCTCCGCGGACCTCCGAACCTTTCTGTCCGCTGCCCCCCTCCCTTCCTGGGGACATTCCCCATTGGGGGGCAACGATAGGGGGGGGGGGGAGTGACACAGTGACACAGGGGGGGACACATCGACCTGGAATCGGCGATGCATCGCCGATGGATCGGCGATAGGTCCCCGATCGTGAACCTGCACGTTCCTGGGCAGGCTGGGGCTATCTGGCCCATATCGGCGACGAATGGGCGACTGGGAGTCGATGTATCCTCCCCTATGCCTGTCCCCCCCGATCGTTGCCCCTGACCCATGTGCCTTGACTGGTGCAGGCCGCGTTCATATCACTAGCTCCCCACAACATCTCCCTCCGCTCTGTCTCCCTCCATTCTCGATGTCCTCGTCCGTCCTCTGCTCCGGTCCAGCGGCCACTGCCAGGCAGACTAGGCCCCAGAACTGGGAGGCCCGTGTACGCTAGAAGGGCACGCAGCAAATGCTCAAGAACGCCCTTCTGGGGAAACTAAAAGGTACCGATGCCGCTACTCCCCGGACCACTCCAAGGGTGCGCTCGGACCAGAATGTCGAGGCGAATCCAGCGGTGGCGACGAGGCCTCACAGGAGGCTCAGGGGGAAACCGAGAGAAGCGTAGAGGTATGGGTACCCTTTCCTCCTTCGAGATTCTTCCTGCAGATGCTGAAGGGGGCCCAACGAGAGAGAGAGTTGCCCACCGCTCACACTACCCTCCTGCCCCTCATGCCACTGTTCCTACCGTCGCTCTTCCTTTATGCTCGGATCCGCGCAAGAGTGGGCAAACGCGCTCCACTACTCGCAAAGTGACTACTCGCTAATAGCCTGGATCCGCCGAGAGGCATTTACGATCCATTCCATCGCGGATGGTATGTGTAGAGGAGGAGGAGAAAGAGGAAGATGAGGAGGAGAAGGAGGAGAAGGAGGTTCGCACGCTGACAAGCGAGCGGTGGAACGCGCTCGGGGAAAGAGTGGCCCTGGGCAAGAAGAGGGTGGGGCGTGGCGAAGCCAGGCGCGCATGCAAATGCTCGGGGACTCCCCCTCCCTCCTCGTCTTCTTTCTCCTCCTCCTCCTGTGAGCCCGCAGCCGAGGTAACCCTGGCGAGGGGTCACTCTTGCGTATAGCCGATGTGATCATTATCCATGTTCTCACTTGGCATGCTGGGGGCCAGCGGGTCAGCGCAAGCCTCCGATATACATAGGGAAGTTCGACTCGAACTCGAAAGATGCAATGTGCACGGTTGCCGCGCTGGTGCTCAATCGGCGGCCCTTCTGGCCCTCCCAGAAAACGCGGTACTGCTCGATCCACTCTAGCGCTGTCGGTCCGACGTCCACGCCAGCTTCCCACATCAGACGCTGGGCGCCAGCGAGTGCAAAGAAAGACGCGCGTGCCTTTTGGTGAATGTTGGGCTCACTGTAAGACAACATCCGAGCCGACCACGAGAAAAACGCCACGGCAAACGGGACCCCGTCGTTGTCCGGGATCTCGTCCTCAAGCTCGTAGATGCAGAGACAATACCTGATGCGCGTCAGTAGCTGAAGCACAAAAGTGGCCGTCGGATCTCTCTTGAGCTGCTCCCCTGCCACCAAAGGCAGCACAGTTTCACAATCGGGGGTTGTGAACAGAACCTTCGCAAACGTCTGGATGATTGACTCGTCGACGTTGTCCTCCAAGTACAGGAAGAGGCAGGACGCCAGGAACTTCGAGAGATCCATGAGCACGTGGACGTTGTCCTTCACTGTGGCGAAATCGATCAACCAGACCAACCCCTGTGAGTCAAGCAACAAGTTCCCGCCGTGAAGGTCTTTATGCGCCAGGCCACACACCACGTTTCGTTCAAACTTGCTGGTGAAGAGCTGTTCGTGTCCCACGAACTCGTGGAAGAACTGATTCATCGTAGAACGCTTGCCGCATAACTCGTTGACGAACTTACCTTCAGGGTCTAAGTCATCGATGCTGGGCGGACTCAAGAAACCAGCACCCAGGGCAGGATTTTTCTTGCTGCGTTTCGCCCCCTCCGCAGCACGATTGAGGATGCCGTGGCCGACGAAGCGGACAATCTTGTACATCTTGGCCAAGTTCTCCTTCCTCACTGATCGCGTGGACATTGTGAAATCGAACATACGCCGTGAGAGAGCCTCGTTGACGATGGGCACCACGTCAACCTGGCGCGCTCCAGAATTCAATTCGCCCTGGATGACGGACGCAAAGGTGAGCACGGGTGGGGCAGAAGCGAACTCGGGAAGACCGAACACACCACCGCAAAGATCGATCTGCATCACAGCGCACGGTTCGTCTTCGGGGGCACCTTCAAGAAACTGAGAATCCTTCACCTTCGGAGTTGTCAAGCCAAACAGCTTCCCGTACTGCTGCGTCAAATCAATTTCCTCCTTCACGTTCGCCGCGTTATCAAACTTGAGCACTGATGACGGCATGGGTCTGCCGTCCTTCCGGCTGGGTGAGAAGAAGAACACGGACGCCCCACTGAAACTCAAAGAGATTTGCTTGAGCTTCAACCGCGAATGCTGACGCGCCTCCTGGAGGCATAACAAGACGCGTTTCTGATTTGCGCTCAGCTTGTCCACGTCTCCCTGCAACAGAACCTCCTCCTCTGACGCCTGCCCAATCTGCGCCTCATCACCATCTTCATCAGGAACGTTGTAGCCCGCCAGCGCCGCTCCGCTTACAGCTTTCCGCTCCGCAGACTCACTCCCAAAATCAGTCTTCCAGAAAGTCTGGCAACCCCAGTGGCGCTTGTCTTTGTGCAACGGGATATTGCCCATTCCCTTGTCTGCAACTTCACGTTTCAGCACCGGGCCATTGTACGCTGCCTGGTGAGCTGCAACGCGCGCTGCCCTCGCATCAATGTCTTTGTTCTCCAAGTGGAGGCTCATCGTGGAGAGAAAGGCCCTTTGCTAATTTGATCAGCTGAGTGCTGAATGTCGAACAGATGATCTGCAATGCTGCGCCGCAGAATTAGCACAAATATGGCATGAGCCGGAACGGTGGCGGATCATCATCATCACCATCATCATCACCATCATCATCACCACCATCACCATCACCATCACCATCACCACCATCACCATCACCATCATCATCACCATCATCACCATCACCATCATCACCATCACCACCATCATCATCATCATCATCACCACCACCACCACCATCATCATCATCATCATCATCATAATCATCATCATCATCATCATCATCATCATCATCATCATCATCATCATCATCATCATCATCATCATCTTCATCTTCATCTTCATCTCATCATCATCATCATCACCACCATCACCATCACCATCACCATCACCACACACCACCACCATCACCATCACCATCATCATCATCACCATCACCATCACCATCACCACCATCATCATCATCATAATCATCATCATCATCATCATCATCAACAACAACATCATCATCATCATCATCATCATCATCATCATCGCCATACAGTCGGGCTGCTGAACTAAGGAACGCCAGATCAAGAACGGAACCCCGCTTGGACACCAGGGGAAGCCGGGTAGCGGGAGGCGCGCTGCAGGCACGAACACACAATGACCTCGGGAACAGCGAGCCCCTCCCGATCCCGAAGCGGTCCTTATCTCCGTGCATCGACTGCAGCTGCCACTGTCGGGGATGGACAGACCCCCCTTTAGTAAAACGTGGTTTAGTGAAAACGACCTGAGGCCCAAACCTGGCGGGCGCAAGCCTGGAAAATAACGGCCACGGCGCCCCCTGGAGAACCGAAAACGGACAATTCACACATCGACGTGTCACTGTTGGGGGTTCTGTCCACCCCCGACACTGCTATTTGGGCGCCCGAATTATCCGGGGCAACTCGGGCCCGGGGTAACTCGGGTACGGATTCCCGAAAACCGAACCCGAGTTAGCCCTGACCCGAGTTACCCCTGATGATTTGGGGCTCTGAGCTACCTCCGTCGTCGGACTCCCTGCCCCTGCGGCCTGGCTACCGTTGGCACGAGCCGGCCTTCGGGGCTGCCCTGCGGCACCCGCCTGCCGAAAAGGGCAGCCCGGCGGGGCGGCAGCAGCCCGGTGCCTCGCGCGCACGTGCCCCGAGCGCGAGAGCCGCCCGCGCAGATCGGGCGCGGGGGATCCAGAGGGAGACCGGGGCGGCCTGGATCGCGGTGACCGCAGAAGTGCAGAAAGCATCTATACACCACCACCGTGCCAGGCCAGGGCCATCCTGGGCCATAGGATGGTGTATACGCCCTCCTGGCCGAGCCAGGCGGGTCTATGCACCATCCTAGGGCCCAGGATGGCCCTGCGATGGTGTATAGACCCTCCTGGCTCGGCCAGGAGGGTCTAGATATGAGAACGATCCTTGAGATCGTGGTCGGCGAAGACGTCGGGCTGGAGGGTACAGCTGCATATGCTGCGGCCGCGTCCAGCCCCTCTGCCGTCAGTGTTGATTGGACGAGGGGGAGGTCAGGGAGCCAGAGGAGGTGGTGCGGGAATGATTCAGGCGCATCCGTGCATCCGAGCGCGCACTTGTGCTACTGAAAAATCCGCGTCCTCGCCGTGGTAGTCCAACCACTGCTGAGGGCCTTGAATGTGGCCCAGAGCCCACTCGGGCGCAGCTGCTTGAAAGCATCGGTCAGCGCCTCCCAGCGCTTCTGTGGTTCACTCTGTGCCAGGGGCGCTTGAGGGCACCAGGCACGGAGGCGCTCGACAAGCATAACCATGAAAGGCGTATTGCAGTGCTGATCGCGTAGCTTGGCGGTATAGATGCGACGGAACTTGGCTCGGCGGGGCGGGTTCGCAGCTGCCGCCGCGCTCTGCATGTTGTGACAGGCGCAGGCGGCAGCAGCGTTGGACTGGCACGGGAAAGGCAATTGAGCTGTGCAACGCACGAGATCACGGCGGCACTGTGCACTGGCTGCTTGGGGGGGGGGGGCCAGAGAGGTTCGCGTGCCCCTGAAGACGACGCTGCTGCAATGCGTGCTTCAGAGGCAACAGCTGGTAACAGGGCGGATTGTAGGACTATGTGCTGCACGCAGCGTGCACTGGTGGGGCCCAGGGGGGGGGGACTGGGAAACATAGCTGCGCATGGGCAGCACTGATGGATTGTAAGATCGGGCGGTGGCGGGGCTGCCACACTGCCTATGCGGATGTCAAGTACCCCGCTGCCACAATTTCTGCCGAGGGGCGAGCCTTGGGCAGGCCAAAGAGGCGTCGGGCCTGAGAAAAGAGGCCGGGAACCCGACCAACCCCGCAACCGAAAAGCAGCCCCAGGGAGGACCGAGGGCTACCAGGAGCGCTTTCGGGAGGGCGATGGCGGCTGGGGGCGCGTCGGGCCAGACAGGCGCAACAAAAGCATTTCCGCGGCTTCGCAGAGAGGGGCGCATGCACCGCCGTAGCGGCAAACAGAGTGGCCACTTGGCCCAGCGTGTCGATCGGGGACCTTGGCAGATCGATGTCCAGGCTCGGCGTACAGTTCGGGAACATCACAAACGCAGCGGGGCGGTGGATGATCGGGCCCATGGCTATCACCCAGGCCGCCTCTGATGCAGGGCAGCGCTGCACCGCTCCAGCGCCGATTACGAACGTGTCGTGGCGCTCGCTGTTGAACTTGATGTAGCTGGCTGGTACGGAGTGCATGGCATGGAAGAAGTGCATGTTACCCGAGAAGCCAACGCTGGTGGCGACGGGCTCGGTGTCGGTAGCGACAGGCAGCGATCCAACGCGGCCCTTCAAGGCGTCGCAGCGGTCGATGAGCTTGGGGACGCTACGTCCTTGCGCGAAGCCCTGCCGGGTGATGCGCGCGCTTTGTCACAGCGCTCTGAACCCAGAGATTAGCGGCACCTGCGATGGTTCTGATGACCATGTATTTTTTCAGCGAGAGCTGGTAAGCGCACACGGGCGCACTGTAGTAAGTGAGCTCGCCCTGCATGTTATCGCCCTTCAGCAGGAAGGCGAAGATGGTCGTTCAGGTCGCGGACGCAGCACTGGCCCGAGCGGACGAAGGACGGGGAGAACTTCAGACATGCGAGGCGAGGTTTTGCGCACGAGCCAGAAGTAGCACGGCAAAAACACCGGGCCAGATGCAAACAAGGGCGCTTTGCCCATGAAGGCCTGGGGCTGCGGTCTGGTGGGCGCCTCGACGTCAATGGGGCGCCCTTCGGCATATCCGTGAGGATGTAGTCGGTAATGTTTACAATGTTGTGATGCTTCGCGACAGAGACGGGGCGCCAGTGAGCGCGTAGCGCAGCAACAATGGACACGAAGTCAGGATGCAACACGACGAGGTAAGATGGGTGCGCGGCACGAGGCTGGATGCGATGATGCGCATTTTTTGCAGGGGGCCGAAAAAGATCTGGAAGCTCGGGGGAACGCACGCAGAACTATGAATGGCAGTTATCAGCGCTAGAATACTCATGGACGGCAGCTCGAGCTTGGGCATGGCAGCGGCAATGTAACAGGCGTGGGTTACATGCATAATAACCAGGTGCGTGCTCGGGAAAGCGCGCGGGAACATTGGCAGCTGAATGCAATCAGGGTCGTCCTTGAAGTGGGCGGGACTGTAGACTTCCAGGGGCATGATCTTGTGCTTGCGTTTCATGTACTTGGCGACGGCTAGTTTGAGCGTGTAGTGGCTGCCCTTGCAGGGCATATGGTCACGCGCGTGCTCTGGGACGATGGCGCCGCGCTGCTGAGGGGCATTGCGAGGGATCTGCGCGCCAGGTAACTGCCTCCGCGTCGGCAAAGAGCGCCTGGAAGGAGGTGGGGATGTTGCCTCGGCCGATGAACTGGCACTGCGGATTGTCAAAGGTTCTCTCGTTCGACTGGAGGATGGAGGGGTCTGCTTGGCCACGGAAAATGATTTTAGAGTCGCAGTGGATCTCTCCCCTGGTGCGGAAAGCTCTCCACCGCTGACGAGAGTAGCGCTGCTGCAATAGCTGAAGAAGCTTCTTGGTCTGGACTTCTGTTCTGGTCTGCTTGGGGGACTTGTCGGGGTTGGTGTAGATGTCAACTGGCTGGCCTGTTGTGTCAGTTGAGGTAAGCCGCTTCCATTGGCCAGCTGCACTGCGCACTGCGCGCGAGAGAGCAGTGCGCGGGGTACTGCGACAGCGCTGTCTCCTTTGACTTGTAGGACGAAGCGGCGGGCAGGTTCGCCACCCCCGGGTAGTTCATCGTGATGAAACTGGAGGCTGGCTGCTGCAATCCACTCCTGGAAGTCGTTGAGCACCGCATTCGGACCCAGGAGGCGCCGGCAGCCCACGACGAAGAGCGTCGGATCAGGCTGACGGTCCCATTCGGCATGGCGGTTGAGGTCTGCGATCGGAATCTGTGCTTCTGCGAAAGAAAATGTCGCACATCTGGTCGATATGTTGCCACATTCGCTGCTGCTCTGAAGCTTGGCGGTCTTGTTCTCTGCGAGTGCGAGCGACTTTGTCACGGAGTGCATCCACTCGGCGCCCTGCAGCGGTAACTTGTTGTCGAACGAGGCGGCGGAAACTTTCACGATATGCAGCGACGAGCTGGTCAGCTTGTTCTTGAAATCGGCAGGCGGCAGTGGCGACTTGTCGTTGCATGAGATCCGAAGAGCGTCATCGAGGTCTCCGGGCATCCCAGGTAGAGGTCCATGTGATTCCTGGTGCGCATGATGTGGTTCATGTTGTGATCCAGGAGTGGCGTGTCCAGTGACTGGAGCGGCTGGCGCAGTAGCAGGTTGGTTAGCAAAGGTATGAGCAATTTCGATATCACGGGCGAGTTTCAGGGCCCCGTAGACCCGGACACGCTAGACCCGGACACCCAACATCCCTCGAAACCAAATTTTCCAAACGGCGGCACGAACGAAATACTGCACTGCAACACTTCCAGAATAAACCCGGGCACGGGCCTCAAAAGC